CTTGTGAAATTTACTTCATGAACCTTGTAAATTTGATTCCTTTTTTTATAAAATATAAGTACAAACCTACTTGTATCCTAGGCAACAATCACTTAAGGGGTCAAGTCTGAGGTTTATCTTTAAAAGGCTCCAGAAATACTGACTTTTCTTCCTGCAAATGTATACTTGTCATACTGTCTTGATTAATTTTGGAAACATGTGATGAGAAGAAAAGGTATATATGCACTAGAAAGTAATAGGTAACAGCTAGAACATTGCCAAGGTAACCAATGGCCAGGTGCTGAACTTAGAGAGAGAAAGAAAATAGAGTTCTTGTTTCTTTTTCCTGAAAGAATGTTTTTTCTTAAAACTCAAGCAGATTGGTTGAATGAAACAGAATAATAATAATAAAAAAAAAAATCAACCTCCCTGACATCACACTTGTGCACAAGAGCAACCATGAATTGATTCTGATAGACATTGTGGTACCTTGGTATAAAAACATAGAGAAGGCATAGCAGGCTCAATAAAATCCAAAGAATCAGCAATATTATTGGTCCTGAGCTAGCGACTCGGCTTCATTCACCTTCCTACTGCCATAAGATTGCTTCTCTCTGCCTTTTCTATAAATATTTTCATGCTAATTGTTCAGATGAGCTCTTTGGACTTTTTTTTTAAGTTAATTGAAGTGCTAGACTGGCTGTGAGATCTCATCAATTTACAGTTGAGCTGGTTAGATATAACAGTAACTTCTATGCTAACAGTTTCTTTTCTCACTTGTGAAAATCCTTTCTGGTTCCATGCTTTCCAGCCAACTTTAATCTGCAAAACTTTAAATGCAATGTCAATTGCTATCTTCTGTCCTCCTGATTACACTTTTCTCTTCCCACTTATTATTAATGTTTCTGTTCCTAACTCTTCTACACTCAGTAACCCTTAGTGGTTTTTATGCAGTGCTTGGGTTGAAACTGATTTAGAAAAAAAACAAACAAATGAAATAAAGATACCAAGACCAGGCAGAGCAAATTGGGAATATATACTAAACAGCAACTCAAGTTATCCCTTTTGTAATTGGCAGACTCAGGACTGTCTCCAATAATTTCTCTGCCTTGCAACACACTTTGATATCATTAGGAGTGCAGGTGGTAACACTGCTTGCAACAGTTCATGTGCTAAGGAAGGCAGTGTGTTTCTAAGCTGTGGCTAGGAGCTGAGATATGATTGTCATCACCTGAACAAAACATCAATGGGGCTAGAGAGGATCTCAAACAAAATGATAATCATAATAAATGCCTGCAGTAACGATGACTCTCAAGGCTTTTGATATTAATTAATTGGAGGTGTTAACATGTATATTTTTTCTCTTGATGAATTATGTTTGGCTGTGTATATAATAGCCATTCAGTAACAAAGATTTACTTATCAGTTGCTTGATCTTAACCAATTGGGCATCTCCCCTACATGATGATGCACTGTGCATATCTGTTCATAAGTGGGAGTTGTAGGTGCATATCTAAGTAAACTAGATTAACCAGCCTGTAGGTATTTTGAACTTGGCTGCACCTGCAAGATGATTTTGTCAAAAGAACTGTATAAATGAGAACTACATATCACTATTGTTGGATTTACTGACTCAGATGGCAACATTTTTTTGCTACATGACATAGCAAGTTTCTGTGGCATGCAGTAGTATGCAGAAAAGGGTGCAGATGGTGTGACATCCCCGGATATCTGTATCAGGATAGGAATCCAATCAAAGAGTGAAATGAAAATTTAGTCTATAATTTGAATAAAGTGTCTATTTCATGTTTCATCTGTTTTTACATATTTAAAATGTCTTCCTTCTTCACATTTCTCAGTACTAGGCTCTACTTAAGTCTTAGGGGCATAAAATAAAGGAATTAGCCTTAGGCATCACCAAACATCACTACATCACTGGTGGCATGCAATGTAAATTCAGATCTTACATGAAGCCTATTTCTTTTACAAAACTTAAATTTAAAGAACCAATGAATTTATCACTCATAAAATGTTATGTTATATAACAACATAAATGCTGAATATATAAAAAGCATTAAAAATTTCTCTGCCTGACCTAGTAGACTTTTTTAAAAAAATCTAATATGTCGTTAGATTTTGGGCAGTGATTTGAACTAAGAATTTTCCCATGTCATCTTGGTATTCTGATGTTTGGTTGATGAAATACAGATTTTAGAAATTGAGTAAGACTGAGAACTTTTCAACATTCACTTATATATACACACATCAATCAAAAAAATGTACTGGCAATTTTTGGAAAATAACAAAAATATATATCTACATATCTACATTCTACACACCATTTGCAATAGCATTACAACAATCCTTGAAAATGGCTAATGGATTAGCCAAAAGTGCTCAGAAAAGAGAATTTTTCACACAATCCACTTGAAAATTTTTTCTGTACACTATGTCCCAAAAAGTAATCTCTTGTTCACACACAAGACAAATGTAATAATAAAAAACCTTAAGAGAAATATCT